CTGGGTGTCTGTCACTGGCTCATGGACAGTGAGGACTAGAACCTGGATCTTCTAAGTTCTAGTCCATCACTTCAGCCACATATCCCACTGCCTTTTTTAAAGTGTTCTGGGAATTCTAGTTGCCTGAAACAAGTGATTTGAAAAATGCATGAGTGCACTACTTCAGATAAATATGTGGATTACTGACAGGTAGAAAGTTGGACCATACAGAAGCAAATATATGGGGAAAATTAGGAGCTGCATTTAATCCCCTCAGCTCCTATCCTTAAATGCTTGTTTTTTCTTCATTACATGGTTTTAGAAATACTACTTTTATTTATGGAGCATTTAAAAAAGAATATAAAAATGCAGCTCTGAGGATAAAGACATTTAAATCATTATTCTATACATGTATGGATAAAGGAAAGTGCACCCTTAGTTGTTCTGCATGAATGCAGAGTGCATGGATGGCTCCTTATGGATGAGGTAGGTGCAAAGGTTAATAACCATAAAGGATAAAATTAGGAATGACTCAACCATTTTACATTCCTCTGTTCAGCTACCCTACCTGACTTGCTCAGAAAATGCTTTGCTTGCCCTGACCACAAGTCACTAAATTCTGACAGCTTCTAGCAAAGCTCAAGAATATTTGAGAGCTGAAATAGCCCACATAGTAGCAGCTGAAAGCAAAATCATTTGTGCAGAAGAAAAAAAAGCTTCACAGAAGATACACAGAAAGCCACATGAGGGAATTCCATGTGCTGCTTTAGAGTAGGAAATAGCTCAAAGTCAGGCATGGCCATGAGTGCACTCCAGCCTACCTGTTGATTGTACAAACTTCCATAAATGGTAACAGTGCCTGGAAAATCATGGAATACATTCCTCAATACATTTTAAAAGAAATGGAGGAGGATAACGTAATATGCATTTACACAAACAAAACAAAACAGTCAGGAAAAAGCTAGTTGTTGCTTCCTTTGTGGTAGAGCTCAGTGTTTTCTTTCAGGTGTTTAAAACCAGCCTGGTATAATGATAAAATCCTAGCAAATTGCATGTTAATACTGCTTAGGAAGGTGAATGACTGCTCTGGTGTAAATCCATCATGTAGAATAGCCTTCCCCAACATGGTACTCTCCAGATAATCCATCATCCTCACCCTAACCCTAACCCTCACCAGCACAGTACTTTAGAAACATATTACTGTAAAGTAAAAGTAATACATTTTGTGGCACCTTAAAGACGAACAAGTTCATTTATTCTGGTAGAAGCTTTTGTGGACACCATCAGTGTCACCCACAAAGTGACCTTTTTAGGCATATGTAGGATGTTGAGGGATGGAAGAGAGGCAAGCTGAGTTGTCAAAAGGAACTGAAATGCAAAAAAGTACAGCTAGTGATAAGTAACTGTTAACTTAATTAACAACTAAGAAAACTTTGGCTGTTAAACAGACATCATCTAAGGTGAGCGGCAGTATAAGATAATGTAACCATTTAAACCCCTTGTTCTTATTTAAACTGCAGAAAATGGAGCTGAAAACTTAATGAATTCTATGTCAGTTTATTCTCAGTGATATACCTCTTTCAAAGACCTGTGTTGAAGAATGGTTGCTTAAGGGCCATTCTCAGAGTATTCTCACAGGTTAAAATGTTGCCCACTGGTTTCTTTCTGTCAGATTTATGTGCATTTATTCATTTGAACGGAGACTGATCTTCTCATTCTATGTAAAATGCAGGGAAGCTTTCCTGACAAAAGGTAAAATATATCACACTAGAGGATAAGCAGGTGTGTGAACCTGATATTGTAGATAAGATTATTTGGTCCTGTAATACTGTTGCCAGGGTAGTTTTCCTAGTATTTCCTAGTATTTTCCTAGTGGACACCTGGGTCTTCCATGAAGTCTGTGTTTCTGCTGTGAGGTTTGTTGTTGCCGGTGAATACCCCTTTTAAGTTGGTTGCTGATGGACTGGTGTTAGCTGGAAATTATAGGTGACAATAAGTGATATTCAGTTATGTTCTCTTCTGGTAATATGTAGTTATATTAGTCTGGCCCTGGAGATGTTTAGTTGCCCTACTGGGTGTTCTGTCCTCAAAGCCTCACCTCATGCATAGGTTCATCAGTGACATGCATGGGAGACCCTGACAAAATCCCACTAGGACTTCAATGAATTTCAGCCCATCATCCTCCAGAGTCTAGAACAGTTCATTCAACAGGCCCACTTTCTGAATACAGCAGTTAAACGTAATAGACATCTAGTTGCCACCCCATGCCAGAAGCTTGTAGCCTGTGATCTATACCCTACACGTGCTCAATTTCCACCCAGAACACTACAAAAATCCATTGTTATGAAGAAATACAGCTTTTTCCTGGTGTTTGAATGAGGATTTGCTTTCTAGGCAATGATGCGTGTTTGTGTTATTGCTCAACAACATTTTATGAGCAGCACCTGTCAAGGTAATTTTAATTGCCTGTGCTCTTTGGCATATCTGTTCCTTTTGACAGCACTCTTCCAGCCCCAGCCCCTTCACCACAAGTTCCAAGCTGAGATGCTGGTTTTGATCCATAAAGCTTTACACAGTTTGAGAGCTCAATACTGTTGGAGTAGCTTGCCTAGTATGAACATCCCCGTTTATCACAGCTTTTGAAAATCGCTTGTTTTAAATGGAACTCACCCTACAAGATGTGCATTGGCACATTTTAGGAAAAACAAGTCCAAGTCATCCTGGCCAGCATTTTCAGGAATTAAAAATCCATTGAATTCACTATAAACAAGATATAAATATACTATAAATAACTACAACAGGTATAAAATTTCATCTCAGATACTAATTGTTGTACACTATCAGCACAAAAGGAGATTGATGATTAAACCACTTCATTAAACGTAGTAGTACAGTACGGTGTTATTGAAGCTTTGCTAAGCTGCCTAATTTAATTACAATTCAGTTAACATGATCAGTTGAATATAGATCATCATTTCTTCCCAGTTTCCCTTAAAAGTACTATTGTTCATTTCTACTGAGAAAAGCAAATGCTTTCATCTGGTATAAGCTTTTTCAACCCTTCCTAACCTAAGCTTTGTAAGACAGCTAGTTCACTAGATGACAAGCTTTCAAACCTTTAAAGATTTTTTTATCAAGCATTCCAACATCCTTTGAAACTGTTTTATTGTGTCCAACAAATCAAGCTACTCCCACAGTCTTTGATCCAGCTATAAGGAAATATTCCTACAGCTAGATGCTTATGGAAAGAGAATTGTTTGCTAAAACACTAGAATCCTCCTAAGCAAATATGTAGGCTTATAGGGGAAGAGTAGTAATGGAATCTATTGTTATGTTGCATGATTTCAATTAGTCCTAAAGAACAGTCAAGTTATACTTATTTTTCTGCTCCACTTGCTAGCAATCTGGGACCCTGATATTCAGCAGGTTGTGTCAGTGTGACAATCTGGACAGCTAACACAAATGTAGCTCATACAATGCAGTGTCTATAAATTTTGCCTCTTGAACCACTGGAACTTTGTAGTTCAAGTTTGCTTCTCAGACTGACCATGGTTCAGATGACAGAAACAGTGATTAAACAAAAATGAGTGACAAAGCTTCCAAACTCCTAATTGTGCTGGGATGAGGACTACATACAAGGCTAATACACTGCAGTTCCTTCATGTCAGATGCAGGCAATTTCTGGCCCTTTGGGCTAATTTCAAAAGCCCTTTGTAAGACATCACCTATAGACAAAAGCAGGTGGCCTCTACCCCAGCAGCTTGCAGGATGGAGAAGTGGGGGAGGAGGAAAGAAATTAGAGCTGGCTCCATTTACCACCAAGATATGACTCCTAACAGATTATCCCAAAGGATATGCATTTTCAACAGGGGAAAAAAGTTTCCCACTTCAGTTTAGTGGCACAGGAAAGAAAGAAATGCAAGTGAGGAAAAGTACACTAATAAAACAAACCTCAAGGAACCAACTTGGAGTTTATGTGGAAAGGCATTGTTAAGTTGAAGCACATCTCAAAATCTGTTCAACATTAACTTTTCAAAGTGGCATCAGAAACTTTTTTTGAAAAGACAGCAGAGTAAGGCAGTATCTAACTTTTGCTTATTGATCCATATGTAAGCCCTCTAGAAACTGGAAGAGTTGTACTGTACCCAAAGTAGATCATACCAATGGAATACAGATGTACGGAGCTGAAAGTTATGCAAGACATATGCAAGAATATGGGGCTGGTTTCCCCCTACCTCCCAAAGGGGAAGGTAGGAAAAATAGGAAGGGATAGGTGGGGACAAGGGGTTGAAACCAGATTTAGGAAGTAACTGAAAGGTTGTGCTATTATATCATTGCTTTCTTTCCACAGAATGCTTTTTACAGGACAAGGGCTGCAGCCCTCAGGGCACAAGGGGAAAGCAGTCTGTCTGGATTCTTTCCCTGAATGTTCAGAGCTTTCATTGAAAAAAAGTTCTTAGCTGTTCATTCATATATAAGTGATACTGTTGAAAATGAAGGAAGGGTTCAGGCTTTCAGCCAGCTACTGAAAAGTCGGGAAAATTAAAAATGGGCATTAGCAAGATTTAAAAATGTGGTTCTAATTAATAAATAGAAATGCATTATGACCATTTGCATGTAGTTCTTCTTTTTTTGCCATTAACTTACCATGCTCACTTCATGAACTTCATGGGTTTCTGTCCACCATGATTTCTGGTTATTTGTTAAAATTCACTAACTTAAGTCCCATTCATTTTAGTGGGTCTACTTGGTATAGAAGTAGCATTGAATTTAATTCTATTGGTCTCTCCAAGGTCCCAAAAACGGTATAGGATGCATGTAGTTTGGGGGAGGGTGAGCACAGAAGTGAAGAAGAGGATATCCTTGCTTCCTTAGGGGCATGTTCTTTACCTCCACACAGCTGCCAATATTGGAGAAGAAAAAAATAACACAGGTCTAATCAAAGAGGCAACACAGAGCATTGTTTCTTAGGGTTAAAGCTTTAAAAAAAGCATCTGATGGCTAACATGAAGACACAGAAAGGTTGTGCATTATTTTAATCCAATGCAATAAAGGAACAGACCACAGCAAACACTTTCAGTCTGACTACAAAGTTAATAATGGGAGACCCATTCCAGGAACTGGTAACAGTTACTGCAAGAGAAAAACCGAATGGGGGGAAAAAGGTAATTGAAGGCTCAGACAGGAGTGTAATGAGGAATGATTTAAGATGTACTTGATAAACACTTTACATTAAGACTTTAAACAAAACTGTTATAAGCAGCAACCAAATCCATTTCAACATATAATACATAATTATACAATTCATATAAGCTGTGATAAGTTACTTTGAGTATCATATTTATATAAACACAAAAAACAGTGAAAAGTGTGCAAAGGATGATGCTCCAGAACAGTGAATTTTAAAAGGCTATGATAGGAGGAACAGACTTTTATATTTGATAATAATAACTACTGACTGCGTGGGAAAAAGTCAAGGGATATGTCAGTCAGGATACATGAGTTACAGTTCAAACAAGCACACATACAACTCCGACTGGCCTTAATTCGTCTTTAAAAAAAATCTTCAATCCAAAGAGGGCTTTCTGCAGATTATGTACACTGGGTAGAAAGAGTATTGCAAAAGGCACTTTTGAATTTAAGGCAAGTAAAGGTATGCTTTTTTAATAGACTATTAAAATTAAATCAGTAGGGTGACACCCTGCTTTTCCTAATAGGTTATCTTTACAATGCTAAAATGTGTGTTCAAAGTTTCAAATTCAATGAGGTAATTCTAAATTTAGTGCTTTTGAACATATAATGGACCAGCTTCTTTTTCTCTTAAAAAAGGTATTTGCTGCAATTCCATATATCAGCCAACAACTGATTTTGTGGATGCTGCTTTAAGGCCTTGCATTGTTCCTGTGTAAAATATTTTTTTCTTTAAACACAACTACATGAAAAAAGAATATTTAAGATAGGTTTAATACATTTATATAAAATATCAGATGTTGATACAAATCATGAATGTCTCCCTTTGGAAAAATTTTCACCTATCCACCACAATTACTAGAGATCACAAACATCTTCGTCAGTGCAAATCTATTATTTCCCAACTACAGAAAACCATCCACCTTCAAATATAAAAAGTTCTGTTTCTGAAATGACAAATTTGGTTATATTCACCCATCCACAGTATGCATTATCAAGAGGGGAGAAATTAAAGCTGCTTGTGCAAGTATCATTACAAACAGTCCTCCTTATTCAAATCCTTTGATTCTCATTAGGTGTACAGGATCCTGGGTTGGTCAAGGGATCTTCATGCCTGGTTCTGTTATTGATCTTCAAGCCAAGAAGGAGCATCTACTCCTGGTGTTTTCAATTTGATATGGAATAGCTTAAGTGTCTGTTCAAGCTGTTTTTGATTCCCCGCAAAATATGCTGCAACGGCATTATGGAACAGGACAAGCTGATTGTGCAACACTTTGACCTGTGGGCAAGGATAAAGTGAAATACATGTAATAGAATACTTAACCAGAGGTTAACCTATATGCTGTGCCAATTTAAGAGCTGACATTTATTCTTTTCCATTTATGCTGTTTTTTGACCAATGTTCCTCCAAGTGAAAACAATCAATGTAACTCCAGGGCAGATCTGGAATCAGCAGATTTGGTATGAGGGTAGACAAAAGCAACCTTTCCAAAGTCGATGCCTTCTAGATGCTCTAGACTACAATTCCCATTGCCACTGACCTTTGGCTATGCTGGTTCGGGCTGACAGGAACTGTAGTTAAAAGCATATCGAGGGCAGAAGCTTGGGAAAGCTGAAAAGGAGCATCTTCAATGCAATACATAAAGGGTGAGATGGTCTTGGAGGTATGATGGACATTAGCACTTTAGTGCTTCGTTAAGTTAAACCACCACCCAGACCTTTGCTTAGGCCATAATTATGAACCACAGCAAACCCTAGAGATTATGTTAAACAGTTTCCATCAGGAGGTAGGCTCCTCTACAGCTGCAGACTAAATATTCTTTAAATTGACAACAACCCAGAGCACATAATCCTAGCAGGTCACAAATAGGTAAGTTGTACTTGTTAGGTGCAAAGCCAAAAAGAGATGAACTAAGCATAGCAGCATTCTTCAAAGGGATGTTGCTGAAGAGTACTTCTATCAATATTCAAATCTGAATGTTTGAGAGGAACAATGGATCATCTCTCAGTCAGAGAAAGTAAGAATGTATTCTAATCACAGATGTTCAAAAGAATGCAGGATCTGCAGAACCTGTAGATTCTTCAGTGGTATGTAAACCCCTGTGGGAGATTAGTAAAATAGAAGTTTTGGGCCCTTACACTGAGAGGCAAGTGTCACACCGTATCACAGTCATCTTCACAATTTTGATAAATGATTGGCAGATTAACTTCTTTTAATCACTCAGTGACACAGGTTAAATTGAGAGTTACTTGAGCAATGCCATTCAGTGTGCTTCATGGCTTGGCTGAGCTCTAAGTGTAACACTAGTTTTTGGGGAAAGGCAGGATGATGATGATGATGATGATGATGATACAGTTTTTAGCTTAGAAATAAACACAACTTTATATCAGGTGAAATCAAAATGTCTACTCAATTCCATATTTATAGCAGTAACATCAATAGTATCAAATGGAAGGCTCTGTGCAGTAGGATAAGTCTGTCCATGATAGCTGTGGGGCTATGTTCATAAAAAGTGCACGTCTAATTATTACATCCGTGGGTCACTTAAAGACCTGAACAAGTTGGCAATTCAACCAAGGAAAAGGAAAGTAAAAAGTATAGTGGAGAAAAAAAGCAGATCATGCTACCAGCTTAACTGCATTTACTTGAACTTGGGTTGTATGGAGATCCTTATATTAAAATCAGGTACCAGAGATTTTAAACAGAAAAAGTTTATTTCCTAAGTAGAACAAGGAATTTAAATACCTACATTCATGTATTAACAAAATTAGACTTAAAATTATCAGCAACATTATGGATATAAGACATTGTCTTTTTAAGCGATAGACACATAAAAACACCAAACTGCGAAAGCAGGGATTTTAAGCAGTCTGTTAAAGCTGCTTTGTGAATTGTAGGAGCCAAGAGGTCACAAATGGAGAATATGATTTCAAAATCACCCCCTTTCCCATAAGAACACAGACTCAATTGAGTAAGAAAAAATAAGAACAAACGTTTCAGCCATTAATCAATGCTTTTTAGGATTTGAAGTAATTTCTGAGTGTGAACTATATACAACATTTAAAGCGCATAAAGTATGTCTTATCTGAAAGCCTACACTTTGGAAGTGACGGTTCTCAGTTCTCTATCCCATATTAAATTTGTTGGTTTTAAAGCTTTCAAAAGACTTTTTTGTATTGCAACGAACTAACATGTCGACCACTACTCTGAAAATGTGTCACATCAGTTCGCATAGCATATCCCTTCTCTGAATCTCTGCAATAGCTTCAACTATAAGACAAAGAATGCAACCGATATACCACCCAACCAATCTTCCATACATAAATGTAAACCAAAACTTATGTTAAAAAACATCAAAAGAGCAATTGTAAAATCATACAAGTGCTGCAGGAAAACAATTTATCACTCACAACCATATCTATCTTTAATTATTTCCAATCTTTTGAGTGTTTATAGCTGAATACTGGGAAAGCAACATCTGTGTGAACTACGTGGGATGGACACACTTAAAATAATTTGAAGATCTGATTATAATACTCAGACAGCAAACCTAGACAATATCACTGACTGAACAGTGTTTAAGAATAAAGTACAGTGAATTAGATTTATGTATGCACTTATAATGCACTGTATATTTAAAGATAGTCCATAATAGTAGTGGTAATACTCTTACATATTAATAGAGCAAAGCAGAAAAGTAAGAGAGCTCATACATAAAACTCAAAAGCCCAGAGGGATTTGACAGAGTGACATTTAGGCAGCTGAAGAACTGGTGCCTCTACCATGTTAGTTGCATGGTGATGAAAGATTAAAGGTACTACCAGCAATCTAAACAAACAGGACAAGAAACAAAAGCGAATTTTACTTACATACTGCACCTCAATATATTGATTCAACTTGCTCCAACATTACTAAATCTTGAAATGCTTGCTCAAATACAGTCCATAGCATTCCCTAAGGCCTTCATGAGCCCACTGTCTGCTAGACAGGTTGCTTACCTATAACTGCAGTTCTCCAAGGGGTGATCTGTGAACTCACGCATATGAATTCTGCACCTGTACATACATTCTAGAGTTCAGCAGAGCTTTTGGTGGGAGCCTCACCCATCCTCTCTGCACATGCACCAGGTGTGGCTCTCACCCCAGAGCATGTGCAGAAGGGATGGGCAAGATTCCTGCGTAAAGCTCTGCTCAGCTCTAAAATGTTTTAAATGATTGTCCTGCACAGGAGTATAAACTATGTTTGAGGCACAGAAAGGATGAAATATCAGAGCCCTTTTAATACTGTAAGCTGATTATATTTTCAGGAAAAGCAGATGTTACAGATCTCCTAAGGTCTGTACTGCTTACTAATGCAGGTAAGTAATCGTGTCTGCACATATGCAGAAAATAAAACAGAAGTTATAATGCTCTTCCATAAAAAATGCCTCAAGGGTTTTTCCAATATGGGAGCAGTAAAAATGCATTTCCCCCCCACTAAATACATACCTGCAATATCAAGTTGTGTCAGGTGGTTCTTAAACCTGGTTCACACTGAACATTCAACTGAACAAATTTATCCCCCACCTCTTCACCAGAAAACTTCCATTTGCTTCTGTCAACTATAAGAAATTTGATTGAACAAGTAGGGTCTAGTTTCTACGTAACTATAGCTACTGCTATACAAAATGTGAAATGAAATATAAAAACAAATACTATCCAACATGTCAAACCAACTTCCCATCTTAGACCATATGGATTTCCAGTGGAAAAGCACTATTCAACACACAAACCATCATGACCAGCTTGGGGTGTGCAGAAATACACAGAAGCCTGAAAAAATATAGCTGAATCTTTGCCTATTGATTAACTTCAGAGTTAAATCTTAAACCATTCAATAGGCTAGTATGACCAAACAACACAGAGTTACAATTCTGGTTTGCTATACTTGGTGAGTTTTGTGTGGTATGACCCAGATCAATTTCCACAGGTTTGCTTGTGAGTGGGCAGCAAACCACGACAACAACCCATTGGATGTTGTAGGGATTATTTTATCTGCAATAGATTGTTGTGTCATTCAAAGTAAAACCACTGACCTATCTTGAGTAGGAAGAATTGGCTAGCATCCTGCCATTCTTGCTATGGGGATCCTGGGTTAAAGCTGAAGCCAGCTGTCTCAAAAGTACCCAGCTGACAATTGAGGGCAGCTGATCCTGGCTTCCCTCCCTTCCTGCTGCAAGCTGTTTCAGGCTTGCTGCAGCCTTCTCCCCACTTTCTCCCCCTTTGTAAGAGGGGTCAGGAAATCAGAAAAATTGGCTTTCACAATCCATGCTATGATAGCTATGAGCAGTCCCAGCAGCATGATGAAGGTGCCGCCCATGGTTGCCATATGATGTACTTTTTATTTTTAATCATAGTTGTGCAACAGTGAACGTTCACAATTTGCACTACTGTGAGAATTTAAAGGCTTGGCTGGAGCAATGTTCAAGTGTGTGTCTGCTGAGAAAGGGAGACAGGTACCAATACTGGACTTTGCTCCTGGAAGAGGACGTTAAAAAGTGAGCTATCAAGGGGGAAAAAAAGTACGAGAGAAGTTTAGCTATGGAATGTTTTCTGGAATGTTTTACACTCTCTTTGCAGCAAGATTCTCAACCTCCCCTTCTCCCTGTTTCTACAGGGGTACACACACCATTTTACACTTTGTCCGAAGCCTCTACATACCTGGGAAAGTCTAAATGTGCAGCTCCTCACCCTGTTCACAAGGGAAATGGAATTTTGACAGCTTACTGTCAAAACTCTGGCTCCCTTTAAAAGGGGAAGCTGAATCAGAACTGACAGTTTTCCAACTGGGACACATACATAGTCCAAAAACACTAATTTCTCAGGTTGCCATAACTCAGTGGGTGAGTTTGTGTGGATGTGATAACTCAGCCTGTGATTAAGCTATGCAGAGTGGGCTGCCTGCAAAACAACCCATAGTGCATCTGATGGATGATCAGACTTACCAGGTGGTTGTTCTCTTTTCTTCTTCAGTCCTCTAGCTAGTATCCCAGGGCCTTTCGCAGCAGAATCCACCTTGTTTCCTTCTCTTTGCGCCAATCATACCCCCCCTCCCCAATTTTTGTTTTCTGTTGCCTCTCACTGTGGAGACTGATGTCACTATCAGTGACAGCTGCACTATCAATATTCAAAGGGAAAAAAATTAAAAATGGGTGATAGAAATGTATGCAATTGTGATTGCATTAAAAAAAAAAAGCCCTTCTGATAAATTTGTGCTTTTTTGGGTAATGAGGGAAGGAG